TCTGCATGTTCTCCTGTGTCTGTGGGTTCTCTCCGGGTTCTCCGGCTTCCTCCCACCGTCCAAAAACCTGCATGTTAGGTTGGTTGGACTCCAAACTGCCCTTAGTGTGAGTGTGTGTGGTTGTTGGTCCTTGTGTGTCTCTGCGTTGCCCTGTGATGGACTGGGGACTGTCCAGGGTGTACCCCGCTTCTTGCCCACTGACTATTGGGATAGGCTCCAGTCCCCCCACCCCGACCCGATAACGGAATAAGAGGTTACGCCAAAACATCTACTGTTATTCACGCGACTTGACCTTTTGATTCCTCTTGATGAAACAGTTCTTCTTCCTTCCTCCATTTAGATTAAATTAATTATGATACTGTGTAAGAATTCATGTATTGTTGTTTTTATGAAGTCAGTGTTAGATATTGGAAGGACATTAGGGTGATTTTAGTGACATTTTTCTATAAAAGCCAATAAGTCAAAGAAACAAAATTGCTGTACTTATAATGACGAAAGAAATTGAATTAAATTAAAAATGGGTGGTAAGAAACTTTATGGTTAGTTTAAAATCAAATTTGCATCAATCTGTGTTTTGATTTCATTAGTTGAAACAAAATAATGATACAAATATGTTTATTATCAATAACATATCACATATAACTGTTATCAAGTATGATGGGTCATAACACAGCTATAACAGCTCTAAAACATAGAAAAACTAAATCTGAACAAATGTCATAGCATTCATCCACATAGGGATGATTCCAGATCCAAAACATTTAACTTCACTATTACACACATGTTTCTGAGACCAGTCCGTGCAGTGGTCTGTGTTGTCAAGGGAATTGACTGAGAAAAAAAGCCATGCATTAGAGCTATTATCCATTAGTAACATCGTAGACGAGTACAGTTCGACATGATGGAATGCAACATTACCGTCACCAATCCATGGCAGGAAGGGAGGACAGGGGACGGACACGTTTCCGGGAGACGAGTGCGGCCAGCACATAAACTTGTCAAATGTCCCTTTGCAGAAGCTTCCTGCAGTGAGAGGAGGAGATCTGAGCATTTTGTGTCGCGCTTCGAAAATGGAGAGAACAACGTCTGAGAGGAGGGTCACCATTGCTGGGGAAAGCGGTCGTGGTCAGGGTTGTGTTGCAGCTCTCCCAGTACGCCGTCCGTTTGGTGATCAGACTTTCAAGCAGCGAGCCAGACGCCTTCCATGTGGATTCAGAGAAAAGCCAGAGAAGAAGTAATACTTTAACAGCTTCTTTCCTGTATTAGGCCACAATGTTAGTGATATATTTGTTCAAATGTTCCATGGGATAGTGTTGAAAATGATTACTTTTTGATAACGATATGAACTTCAAATGATTTCCAAAGATTTTTCTGAACTTTACCACAAATAAAATCAGAACACACTGCTTTATTTTAACCGTCTCCACCAAAACAAAGAGCAGATAGATGTGAAAATGTTGCAAACCCTTCAAAAATTGGGGCTCTGGTGCTACATTTTGTGCGGCCCCACTAACAGTAACATCTGAAATTGTTTTTAGATGAAAATGGTTTTTTTCCCCCGTAACTTTCAGCTCATCAATGAGCCAGTTCAGAAAATAACTGATGACCAACTCCATGAAACAATCTAACAGCTTATACCTGAGAACCACGAGTGACGCTCTAATAAATAACGCTAATGCAATGATGTGCAACTGGGAGTTATATAACAGAGACCATTTTACAGCATCTGTATCCTGTCAGTGTACACAGGGTCCTGGATCTTGTAGATTCTGTATTTGTCCACTGGGGGGCAGTGTCTGATCAGAGGCGTGTTGTGTGACCGCGAGAAGGTTTTCCCATCCATGTAATCTGCATTTGATCAAAGTGATTTATCAGCCGTGCTCACTGCTAAGTGTCAGGCCAGCAGCAATGCAAACACGCCTCCACTTACACTTGTGTGCACGATGTCAACGGGCCTGCTGTTTGTTCAATGTAAAAACACACAAACACTGGCCAGACGCTCACAATCTGCACAATGATAGGAGATTAGAAACAGAACTCTTCATCCAGCCACCTGAGATATGAAAAATCCCCAGAAGATGGAGAGCATTTCAATTGAGTGACATCATATTTAGTTTGATTTATGTTTTTTGTGAAATGCAGAGGATTGTTGTGGCCTGACAACTTTAACTTTAACAGATACAAAACCGTTAAATATGTATAGTCGACTGCTATTTTAAGGCAAGTAGAAGCTTCTCAAATTGCATAAGAGCAGGTTTAAAGTCAATGTGAATATACAGTATGATGAAATCATCATTTCTAAACATCTTGCCTTGAACTTTATCACTTATTTCAGAGCAGCTGTGGGTCCATTTCTTCTGACCAAGCAGAATAATGTTGCATAAAGCAGTAAAGGAGAGTTTTGTTTGTTTGTTTGTTTGTTATGAAGAGTTAACGGAGCTTAAAAGTGTACCTGGTGGTTGAGGACATGCAGGAGGAGCAGGAGCTTGATCTTCTTGTGCCAGGTGGGCAGCAGGCGTGGCATGATGCTGGGTCTTCACATTGAAAAGTGCCGTTTGTTGGTTTCGGGGTTGGTCTGAAGCTTCATGCCTCGTCCTAGGGCTCCCCGAGCCCCTCGCTCATCTTTGCTTCTCACTCCCACTGACGGAAGGTCAGGTGTCCTTTGCTACTCCATAGATGAATTGCTTGTGGGTTGATCTGAGGATTATTTACAAGATACCCAGATTTTTATCAACGCTGTTGTCCGCCTTTAATGAGTTTTCTTCATTATTCCTCAAAATTTTCTCATATTTATATAAAAAAAATACATTCCAGTCTTCTTTATAAATGTATAAATGAGCGCTTACACCTCTCAGTGACAGGTTTAGAAGTTGCTACAGGCAGAGAAGTCCATCTCTGTGCCGTAGAGGCTCTCCGGGCTGTGTGGGAGGTGGATCTGTGTGTATTCCCTACGGACACAGCGCAACTGAGAGCGCCCGAGATCCTCATAGACAGATCGCCTCTCCCACCCCGCCGTCCTCCAACCAATCAAGATAAGTCACGGACTCAACCGGCCAGGCGACCACACCAACTTCGCCGTCCGAGAAAAACCGATCACACGGACGCAAACGTACAAAGAAGCCTTCGAAAATCAGAATAATCCACAGTAAATAGCAGCTTTACTTTAAACAGATGGGGAAGGCACTAAAGCCATTCGCTCTGTTTAGCCATCTCACACAGAAACTGGGAATCATCTGACATTAATGGGGCTCTGAGTGTAAACTAACAGCACGGAAGCCAAACAGAGGAAGGCAAATGGTAGCGCAAAAAGAGCCACACAAGCCTCACGCCCTGCCCCAAGCTCGTCTCGGTGCATAGTTTTTAGACAAACGGCGTTGTAATAATCAAATAATCAAACAACAATACACATAATTACAGAACAGCATTGCTTGCTGCTTCTTAGATTTACAGTAATGGACATTACACAGACCTTCACAACCAAAAGGGCTGTGAGAGGCTGTAAGAAAAGCCAGAGTATTGATTTGTTTTGTTTTTTATAAACTGCTGTATCACTGGCCAAAACAGGTGTCCGTTTTAATTGACAACTGTGACGCTCTCCTTTTAATCACATACTTTAAATGTGCAAGGAAGAAGAAGAGTCAGTCAAAATGAAGCCTAAGTCTGGACACAATCCTCCTCTTCACCTCTGACCTCCCGATAAATGCTATGTCAGGTCGGCAGCTTGACATTTCCCTGTTCCCGGTTACTACTGGTTACCCAGATGAGTGTTGCCCTTTTAGGCAGACGGAGATTGGGGTTATATTAAAAAACAGACATGAGGGGGATCAGCAGGTTTGTAACCACATTATAGAGTAGCCGTTCAGTCTGATGACCATGCCATCCTGTATGGTTATCACTTATCCATCCATCCATCCATCCATCCATCCATCCATCCATCCATCCATCCATCCATCCATCCATCCATCCATCCATCCATCCAGGGGGGAGGTCAGGGGTCTCTGGGTGAGTGACAGTCGTCATTAACTCCATATCAACAGTTCAAATAACCCAAATCACAGAAATGAAATTCAATCAGAATAATTAAAGAATCAGGTCGGTTTATCAGGACTTTTAAAAAAAAAAACTTAATTGGCTTAAATGCGGATTAACAGGCACTTATAAAGAAGAGCAGAAAAAGACAGGCAAACATAAAAGATAAATAAATGCAATAAATAAAAAAATCAAACAGAAATTGGGTCTAATCCGTCACACTGTAAAGGGTATAGCATATAATTTATCAAGTTCTGTACGCCAGGAAAAAAGGGACGTTTTAGATAGGACTTTGTTTTTTAAACAACATTTCTTGACTTTTCTTACTTTTCATTGATAACCTTTGAGATTAAAATGAGATTAAAATGCACAATAACAGCACCTGGGAATAAAATTATTTAAAATATAAAATATTTATAGAAGGCATCCATAACAGAAAGCTCAAATTTACTAAAATCTATTCCATCATCCCCCCCACGACCCCATTAGGGAATAAGCAGTTATGAAAATGGATGGATGGATATTCCATCATCCTTATTGATCATCATCCTTATTATTACCATCCAAAAACAACTGAATCGGCCACAACTGTGTTTGAAAGCATGCATTTTAAAGCTGACTTTGAATAGTTTGGATGGGTGGATAACATGAGAAAGCCCTCTGCAAAGCTGTGTCCCAGCCACATGTCCTAGTAGCCCCTCCCTTTGGGCAACCATAGTGCCTGGACTCATTCCTTGGAACTATGTAACAACCTAAAGAAAAAGATAACTCAGAATTTTCTGCTTCTATACTCAGACGAAACTGAAGCTGTCAGAGTAATTGTGGATTTACTCAGCTTTAGTCATACGGTGAACTCTTTTATACCAGAATTTTTCTTTGACTCCAGTATTTAAGAATGATTTTTTTCGCCATCATACTATTGGCAAAAAGAAAGAGCATCATGTCTCACAGGATGACTGGTGCGTGCATTTTCCTCCTAAAAATGTGACTAAATTCATTCTAGATTCTTCAGCGGTGGTGTAATTTCTCTAAAAAAAAACCTCTGATCCATAATGGAGCAGCAAGCGTTCTGAGAGACCAGATTTCTCTAGTTTTGGCTTCCTGATAAATTCAGGGTGTAATTTGAAATTCTGCTCCTTAAAGACTAGATCTAACATATAAAATGGATATATTAAAGACCTCACAATTAAATGTTGTCCCCAAAAAAGCACTTTTCACTCAGATTGCAGGCTTCAATATGATTCCTGGAGATTTTATAAGAACAGTTTTAAAAATGGCCCCACCTCTTGGAAGCAGACACCGTCCCTTTTTTTAAATAAAACTTTAAGCTGCACTTTAAAAAGTTGTGGGTACCAGCTTTATCCTGTGAAAATGACAGATATAAAGTAATAAACTCTATTAAGAAAATGTGTAAATCAATTTCCATTCATTTAAATCACAGCTGAATGTAAAGTCTACAAAAAAATAAAATGTTCATTTTGAATCGTAGTGTTATAAATAAGTACATAAACAAAGGGACCCTTTCCTGTATTTGTTACCTGTAATAAATGTTTGTATTTCTATTGTTTCGATCTTCCGTCACTGCCCAGATATTATTCTGTCTTGTTTTATCTACATATATCTGTATAAAACTGAACTTAATTCAATTCAATCAACTATTAAACAGTGTCATTTGTTGTTATAAACAGGTAAAAAATTGATTGAGGGAGGTATGTTCGCTTTTATGTAACTTTTCATGACTTTTCATGACTTTTTTATGAATTTTTCCCCCAGCATATTATCAGCAGTGTGTCTCTAAATATACTGATCTTTAACATGATGTATATTCTTCTGTCTGCCATGTGACCGAGACTGAAATATGACTTCAATCTACTGTGGGAAAATACCAATGCATTCAGCTCTCACTGTAACATTTTTACCTGTAGGGATACACATTTAAAAATTGGATTTAGTCCATCTCATATTCTCAATATCAAATTGAGACTCCACAAATCCTCTTGACTGAAAGTGATAGGCAAGATTATTTGAAGACAAAAGCAATATGCGAGACGCATGTTGACTGAAGAGATGCGCTTATCTGCTTTAAGGAGAAAGCCCAAACCTCAACGATGCATCATGTGGAATAGTAATTGTTTTTTTTTTATTTCATGATAATAAACCTTTCAAATGTTCCCATAGCATGAATGTGACAGAATCCTCTGCAGAAAAAAAACGACTTATCATGGTTTCTAGACCTCGCTGTGTGCCAGGTGGGTCATTATCTGTGACTGAAACAAAACAAATGGTGGAATTGAATTCTGTAAGTCTGATAGTATACACCTGTGACAGGGCCATACATCCTCACTGTGCTGGAAAAACGAGGTTCATGGCAGAGGCAAACACATATATAGCCTTTTTTTGGGTTATTTTGAAATAAATTGCAAAGATAGAACAGTCAGGGTAAGCTTGTTACCATGGTGATGAGTTCAAACTAAGCTCAGCATAGAAAGAAAACAGCTAAAATTCTGCTAATATAAAAGTCCAAGTGGGCTTAATCAAAGAAACGAACTGACTGTTGTGATATTTTTGACCTCCTCTAATTAATCATGGTTAATTCTGAATGAGCACATTTAGAAAGGCGTTCTTTTAAAAAACTGACTGACTTTGTAAGACGTACAAATACAAAAATAGTTTTTCAGTGGTTAAATGAGAAGCTACAACAATCGCATTGTGTTTTTCACTTTGTAAAACATGTCATGATGTTTGTGATGAATTTTGAGAGAGTTAGATAAAAAATTTGGCAATATTTTAGCATGCCCCTGCTTAGCTCGTTATGTAGCTTTGCTAGCCAGGAAATGATGGCTAGTTAGCTTAGTCACATCATTGTCACCAAACTGAAATCGGCATCAAGCAGCAACACCACCTGCTTAACTCCAGATTGTGGACTGTATTCAAGTTTGACAAATTAAAATAGATAGAAAAAAAGCTGATATTTTTCTTAGGGGCAAGGAGAGCTGAATTTGTTTTGACTTTGAGTGAAGCTAACTGCTTTATTAGCATATTAACACCAACTTTTCAATGAATAGCAAAGTAAAGTTTAGGCTGACAATTTGATTCCCCCCTGTTTAGCAGAAGACTACACAACAATAGTTTTGGCTTATTACATGGTAATAAATCATGAATATTAAAAAATTATTTCAATTTTCTTTTCATATTTTGTTCAAAGTCAAAAGACTTCAAACAAAAAAACTAAACAAAAAAATCTCGATTTTTTTTTCTTCTTGGATCTGGCTTTATAGGGTTAAAATGTTCCTCTGACCTTTCAAAAGCAGGTGAAAATGTTTGAATAGCTACGGTGTAATTACATAACGCGTTCCCCCACCAATCAAACTGACCTTCAGTTGCGAACATGCTAACAGAAATAAATCAAGCCTTCATCTCACACAAACAGTCCAGAACTCAGGGAGAGAATTTCAAGTGAAAGTTGGGAAAGGTCAGGCGTGTTTCTGAGTATTTCCCCCCCCCCCATGCGGCCCCACCTCGACACGGGGCGGCCATTGGCCTCTTACGTGCGCTTGGCAAACCGAACCCCGCTCCTGTTTACAATCT